CATATCAGAATCGTCATCTAAAATGAATTCTTCATCTTCTTCAGATGAACCAAAAACTTCATCTTTCTTAGCACTTTTCTTTTTAACCTTAGTTGTCATTGTCTTCTTAGCAACAGATTTTCCTTTATTTTTATTTGTTTTCTTAAAAGGCTCACATTTGTCTATTTTGAATTTCGGAATTCCCTTTAAAATCCTTTTATTTCTTTTCTGTTCTAACAAACTACTTTTTAAGGCATCTTTGTATGGTGTATCCGTAATCAAGACAGCAGATCCTTTTCTGGACTTTCTTTCCTTAATACCGACTTGTAAAATGAAGTGGTGGGTAAAAGGCTAAAAGCTTGTGGCCGCACTGTTGAATCTCTATATTAGAAATTTTCTTACATGATAAATCTTTCACACATTTGGTCGCATTAATACTTCTTGGAGGAGTTACATGCTTCGGAGGAGTTATATGGTTTTCTTGTTCAGCCTCTGGTAAATTTGGAACTGGAACTCGGTCACCTTCCGCTTGATGGTAAATGGCAAAGTCGTGTTCTCGAAAAATGTGTTTATTAAATGGGCAGATACCGCTCTTTCGAAAACCATTTATAGCGATTTCAACTGTGACTACTCTTTCAGGGTTGTTCCTTAGCCAATTTTCAATTTCCTGCAAGTAGAAGGTTTAAGAGGCCCCATGAAAGCAAGGTCCAGCGGCTGCATTTTGTGAGTAGAATGCGGCAGTAGACTAAAAATAACCACATGGTTTTGGCGCGCCAAATTTATCGAATCAATGTTCCGCGTGTGGGAGAAGTGACCATCCAATATTAGTATAACTGGATCAGCTTTACTTGGTTTAACATGGCTAATAAAATGTAACCAACTGGTGAAAATGTGACTCTGAATTCAGCCAGACACATAGCAAATAGCTATTGTCCCTGATGGAGCGCCGTTGAGCAATTCTGTCTTCATATTTTGTCCTAATATCGGATATTAAGACAGTGTGACCATCTGATATTAGGCAAATTATCACCTGTTGTGAAGGTTATGTTTATGGATTAAACAAATCTTAGTAATCGACTGTCCACGTGCACTTAATTAAAATCGACATAATATAAACAACTTAAACTACATAGTCAAATTTAAAAACTTACCTGAATGTGTAAAAATTGCGTTTACGACTTTTTTTTTGAAACTATTCTCTATCCTTCCATTGTTGGATATAGGTCTCCCCCAGTTCTCTCCATCTTTCCCTATCTTGAGCTGTTCTCTGCCATGTGGGACCTCCTTGTTTCCTGATGTCATCTTTTCACCTCATCTGTGGTCTGCCTCTTGATCTCTTTGCATTGTATGGACGCCACTTTCCGATGGCATTGTTCCATCGTCCGTCTTGGAGACGTTCATTGTGTCCAGCCCATTTCCATTTCAGTTTTGCTGCTTGTTCTATCGCGTCTACTGTCTTTGTTCTGGTTCTGATCCACTGGTTACGTTTTCTATCTTTATAAGTGATATACCCAACATTTGTCTCTCCATCGCTCTTTGTGCCTTCCTTATCCTATCCAAATTGGCCTGTGTAAATGTCCATGTCTGTGCTCCGTAGGTGAGCACCGGTATTATACAGGAGTTATATACCTTGCTTCGTAAGTATAGAGGGATTGTTTGATTTTTTAGAACGTAAGAAAGTTTGCCGAACGCTGCCCATCCCATTCTTACTCGTCTCGATATTTCGGCTGTTTGATTTTTCTCTGTTAGCTCTGATTGCTTGTCCTAGATAGATATACTCATTTACCTGTTCTATTTTTTCTGTTTGTATTTTTATTGCCTCTTGGTCTTCCGTGTTTGTCATTACTTTTGTTTTGTTGAAGTTAATTTTTAGGCCTTTTTGCAGTGATTTTTCATGAAGTTCATTCAGCATTAATTCCAGTTCTTGTCGTTCCGAGGAGATCAGGAATATATCATCCGCATATCTAAGGTGATTTAGGTATTTTCCGTTAATACATATTCCTCTGTTTTCCCAATCTGTTGATTTTATTATGTCTTCGAGGGTCAAGGTAAACAGTTTAGGTGAAATTATATCGCCTTGTCGGACTCCTCGTTTAACGTTTATATTATCCGTTATTAATTTGTCGTCCAGAATTACGGTCATGGTTGCGTTTTGGTAAATATCATGTATCAATTGTCGTATCTTGAATCTATTCTACTATTGACCAGAGCTTCTTCAACCGCCCAGTGTTCAATGCTGTCGAAAGCCTTTTCATAATCTACGAATGCTAAGTACAGCGGAAGGTTGTATTCATTGGTTTTCTCAATTAAGATTTTAAGCGCATGTAGATGGTCGATTGTGCTGTATCCTTTCCTGAATCCGGCCTGTTCCACTGGTTGGTAGTTATCAAGTTTATAGGTTAGTCGGTTGTTTATTATTCTTGTGAAGGTTTTATATAGTTGTGACAAAAGGGAAATAGGACGGTAGTTGTTTAGGTCTGTTCGGTCTCCTTTCTTATGTATTAAGATTGTGTTGGCATTTCTCCATTGTTTAGGTATTTTACCTTCAAACAGACATTTGTTGAACAGTATTTTTAGCATTTTTTTATCGTGTCTCCTCCTTCTTTTAGCAGTTCCGCCAGTATTTTGTCCTCACCGGCCGCTTTATTTCTTTTCATGTCGTTTATGTATTTTTCGATTTCATCTTCAGTTATTTCTGGTAATACCTCTGAGCCAACATTTTGTATTTTCCTCGAGAGATTCTGTTTAGATGATAGTGGTGGGTCATTTTTAGAACTGTATAGGTCTGTGTAATATCTTTCTGTGATTTTTACTATTTCTCCTAGATCTCTTTCTTCATTGTTCTCAGCTTTAAGCATGATTAGTTTTCTTTTTCCTATATTTGTCTTCATTGTTTTTAAACTTTTGTTCTTCTCTATGATTTTCTTAATGCGATCTTCTTGGTATTTCTTTAAATCTTCCTTTATCGTTTTCTTATGGTTTTGTTCAGTTCGGTAAACTCCACTGTATTTCTTTTGTTATCATTCAGGAGTTGTCGTCGTTTTTTTAGCATATCTTGTGATTTAGCTCTAATTTTTTGTTGTTTTCGCTTTTGTTTATTAGCAATCTTCAGGCCTGCTTCTAGTAGTTCTGTTGTTATTTTATCGTTTAATTCGTCTAGTTGCAAACCTTTAGCTGTGATGTCACTTCTTTTTAGCTGGTTTATGTATTGTTCTTTGCGTTCTTTAAGAAGTTCTGTATCTATCTCTTTTTTAGATGGTTTAAATTTTTGTCTGTCTGTTGTGGCGTTAATTTTGATTTTGGCTCTAACAATTATGTGATCACTTCCTACGGAAATCATGTTTATGACCGTAACGTCTTGTACTATGTTCTTTTCTTTGGATAGGATGTAATCAATCTCATTTTTTGTTAAACCATTGGGCGCGACCCACGTCCATTTTCTCTGTGGTTTTTTATTGAAAAAGGTATTCATCGCATATAGACCGTTCGTTTCCATATAGTTCATCAATGTTTCTCCTCTTTCGTTTCGTGTTCCATATCCAAAGTTGCCGATTTTATTTTCTGATTCTTCTAGTTTTCTCCCTAATTTGGCATTGAAGTCGCCTATAATGATTGTGTAGGTGCTTTTGTATTTGTTCACTGTTTGTGTCAATGATTCGTAAAATATCTCCACTTCTTCATCCGTATGTGATGATGTAGGGGCGTAAATTTGTATGATCTTTAAACTTATATTTTTATTTATGTCCATTATTAGAGCCGCGATCCTTTCTGAAATTCCAATATATTGTCTAATCTTATGGACATGCTGATTAGAAATAAGAAAACCGACACCAGCTAATGATTCTTCTTCAGTTCCTTTATAGTATAGTACGTTCCCGGATTCCAACTTCATAAAGGCTTCCCCTTTTCTTTTTATCTCACTTAATCCTAATATATCCCATTTCATCTTTTTTACTTCTTTTTCCAGTTCGGCTAGCTTTTCGTCTCTCATCAGTGATCTGACATTATAAGTTGCAATATCCAGTTTCGTTGCTTGTTTTCGTTGTTTCTGGCAATCTTCTAAAACCCAGGGATTCTTAGCACCCTCTACTCTTTCCTCGATCCTACCATTGCCTTGAAAGGTGACTCCGGAGCTGCTGGGGACTGAGGGCCAATTCTTACGTGTATCTGTCATAAGAGGGGGGGAGTAGATTGGCCGTGAACTCACCACGCTAGCCAGACGGGTTGGTAAGTGTGTTTCAGCCGCCCACTCTGGGAACAGACGCTGTTTGCAGCCGCCCACTCTGGGTCAGACGCTGCTGTTGTCGCAGTATCACAGCACAGCCGCTTAACTCATAATATGAGTGACGCCTGTGAGTATCTGGAATTAAGCCTACAGAGTTTTTACTTCTCATAGCCTTAATCCAGTAATGACATTACTGCTGCCTAATGTCATATCCTCAGTTGATCCTCGGGTACTTATTTGGCAATGCCTTATTCGTACCTGTCCTGCATATCTGCAGGAACTTTCCCTATCAGCCATATGGGACGTGCCGTGTCGAGGTTGAGGACATCCCCCGCCCACGTTTACGACTAGCACGTGTAAAAACTCGTAATGCAAAAATTCGTATAACTTACTCTGTTTTATTAGAAACGCTAAAATATTATTCGGCGACCTGGGTTAAGCTCCATATTAAACTGGATATAGCTTTCTTGTTAATCAAATTACACGTTTCTTTAAAACAGAACTCTCCGATAGTAGGCAACTATTCGATATTATGGCACGCTACTCTGTTAAGTGCATGTGTATTTGTTCCCTTGTAATTTCTGCCATTCTTTCTTTGAACGATATGTGCTCTAATTTTCCTCATTTGTCTTTGAACAATTCTTTAATGTATTATTTTCAGTGTTTTTATTTTTCCTGTCTCAATTATGATGTTTCCATTTTGGTCTAAAAGTGGTAAACTTTTTTCATAAATAAGATTTATTTTTTTGCTAGTCCTTTAATTGACATCCAAATCAACTTTAAATAAAAAAAAAAATATTTCATGAACAATAATTGTACTTTATTTATCATGCTATAAATTATAAAGTTCTTTTTTATATATATAAAATATAGACGTATATAAGAAATGATTTAAGACCTATAAAAAATTCTATAAAATCAACATTTATAAATTATTTACACATAAACATCGTTGAGTATGTCTAACTATTATTGCAGTTTCAACATTTTTCTTTTTCTTGACTAGTAACACAATTTTGATGATCGTACATTGTTAAGATTCAAATCTAACTTCTCCTTCCACGTTCAGTATACGAGATGGAACGAACCCGACCTAAAAAGAATATATTATTAAAACAAATAAAATCACAATATCACATGTAATATTGTTCTGAAGCTATTTTCTTGTGGCATTTTAAATTAATTACTATTTAACTGGGAATAAGCCACATTTAAAGATAAAAATACGTTTATTGACGTTTCAATTTCCACTTCGGAAATCGTTCTCAAAATACAAACAGTAAATTAAACAAATTTTGTTTTTTGTTACATAGTGAAAAATTCTTTTAATAATTTAATTTTATCTGACTCATTTATATTGACAATTCAGACATACATTATGCATTTTAAAGTAGACGACTTTAAAATGATATTGCCAATATTGTTGAGTTGCGCTCCTGGGACGACTTTACTTATAAGATAGTTCATTCGATTACATGAAATCAACTTTAACTTGAGAATATCCGTCAGAAAAAAATCATAGCATGTAATTCATCTTTAAAAAGACAAACACATGACATGATGACAGTAAAATTCTCTTGTTAGTGACTCCATAGTAAATTATGAGAGAAAAACCAGGAAAAAACCTCATAATACTATCCCGACATGGTAAGTATTTGTTCGTGCATTTAGTTTACCTTCAATAAACACCAAAATTCTGATTTTATGTTTCGTTATTTAAAAAACATAAATGATGTATCCTCTATATGTTACTGACTTAATACTGGTATTTTCTTATTAATAACTTCCTCTTTCAATATTGGTAACCAGATCCTACTACATTCTGCCGAGGAATTTGCGACACAGTTGGCCTCATTTAGCATAATTAGAGCCGCTTCCTTAATACCACAAGGTATTTTATAAATGCATTTCTTTGTCCTTTCTTGTTCATTGATAGGTTTGGTTTTGGACATAATAGATCTCAATGTGTTTGTTGTTTTGAATGTTGTTAAAATGTTGAATTTATTTCCTATCCTTTTAAGTTTTTCTGATAATCCTTTTATGTACGGTATTGTTATTTTCCTCGTATTATTCCTTGAAATTGAAACGTCAATAAACGTATTTTTATCTTTAAATGTGGCTTATTCCCAGTTAAATAGTAATTAATCACATGTAATATCAAAAAACATTTGAAGAAATATTAAAAATATTCTTCTTCTTTGGGTGCCGTATTCAATGAAGGTTGGCGATAACCTCAGCAAAATCATTTCTGTCCCTGGCTTTTCTTATTAAAGATTGAGAATCCAAACCAGTCCACTCACGAACGTTCTTCAACCAGGACGCCTGCCGTCTACCAGGACCACGTTTTCCTTCCATATTAAAAGTTTATATTTTCTATGAATTTTTATGTATTATATCGGTTTGAAAGTATCAATTAGAAACAGATGTATAGTCTGGAAAAGCCTAATTATCTCTTAAATGGATGTATCTCTTAAAACGAGGAGGATTCAGACCCGGCAAATCTTGCACAGGTCAAGTCCTCGTAGTAACAGAACACATTGAAGAGGGCTTTAAAGAAAAACAGGGGCTGCTTTCGCAGATTTAACAGCAGCCTATGACACAGTAAGGCACAAAACATTGCTCCGCAAATTATACGACACTCTCAATGACCACCATCTGGGTAAGGTCGTATATTCTTTACTGCAAAACAGACGTTTTTTTCGTTATGCTGGAGGGTAAAGTAAGTAGGTAGAGTTAAAAAAAAATGGCCTCCCAGAGGGAAGTGTTTTAGCACCAATGCTCTTCAATATATACACAAACGACCAACCGACGCCGACCGAAACTAACCACTTCCTCTATGCTGACAATCTTGCAATATGTGCTCAAGGAAATAGTTTTGAAGAAGTGGAGGAGAACTGTCCCTCACCAGACAACATTGCATAAAAACGAGAGGGAAAGTAACAACTAGGAACAGCATACTCAGAAAGCTAACGGGAAGTAAATGGGGTGCACGTCCCGGCGTTTTAAGAACAACGGCACAGGCACTGTGTTTTTCAACTGCATGCGTGTTCCGTTTGGGGCAGATCCGCCCACAACAAACAGGTTGATACTGCGCTAAATAAGATATGCAGGATATTAACGGGGTTCATGAAACCAACGCCACTCTCAAATCTATATAAAGCAGCGGGTTTTGCAGACCCTGAACACGCAGAGGCGTTGCAGAGCACATGGAGAAAATTAAACAGATCGCAGACGAGCGGCATGCCCTATACAAAGCTCGAATACCACGAAAGCGACTAAAATCCAGGAAAAGCTTCCTTGGAGCAGTGCAGCATGAACCGCCTGGGTATTTTCCTCTTCCCCAGGTTCAATGGACCAGCCAGTCTCAAGACTTTAAAACGTGAAAACTGTGAACAGGATAACAACAGGGGTCGCTCCAGTAAAATCAAACATAGCAAAATAGGGAAAAATGTGAAATGTGACTGTGGAGAAACACAGAAAAGGGAACAGCTTCTTATATGCAGAAACTGTCCTCATCGATGTACCCTTGAAGATTTGTGGCTCGCCATCAAAGATGAAACCGGCCCAATACTGGGCCGAAATTTTATGAATGACATGCCCGGACACGATAAAGTAAAGTAAGTCTTAAATTGATACACCTATTTTGCAATATGAAGATTTTGATGTTTATAAAGTTGCCAGATTTATTGTGGCCATTTTTCTGATATCATTAGTCACTTTGTTTTTTTTTTAATATAACTGTTTAAATTCAAATATGGTTGTAGAAATTAATCAATACATTTTTTCTCCCCTGTATTCATCCGATCCTTAATACTACCGCTGAGGCTCGGGACAGACGCATCCCGCTAGTTAAATGATGCACTCATATTGAAGTCGTTTTGTTTATTGTTTTGTATAGTAGTGTATCCCAAGGTAATTAGCGGTAAGTTCACCTAGTTTTACCTAAACCTTTGAATTGTTTTTGATTGTTTATTGCAATCATTTAAATTTTGATAGTTATTTGCATCTATGAGTTAAAGTTCATTCATCTTGCCAGAGCTATCGAAGGAATAGTTCGAGTTAATTTAATTACTATTAATTCGTAATAGTTCATTATTTGTTTAATTCCTTCACAATAACACCCTGTATATTGTAGCTTTATTGAACTCCCCATTTCAATACCAGTTCAAATATATACAATACTTTCGATTTTATGTAGTCATAGAAATAAATTTTTTGATTCAAACTATGTACAACTATTATTTATCTAAGATCTTCGTGACTAAATATAATGCCTAGTGATGCATATGATTGAACTCGTTTTGAAGTGAGAATTCCAATAATAATAATACAATATATAGAGTTGTATCTAAAAAACTGAAGTTCCTAATGATATCAGAAAAATGGTAAATCTGGCAACATTACAAGCAACAAATTTGAAATCTCCATATTGCAAAATAGTGCACTGGATTTAGGGCGGCAGTGAATAAAATTAAGATAGCTATGATGGTAACCAACGTTCTGAAAGGACATGGTACATGAAGAAGACGGATTTTGTACAATTAGAATCATCCATTTAAGAGATAATTAGGCGTTTCCAGACTTTTGATCCACTCTGTATATATAAAAGTCGAAATGAAGCGTTGTGTTTTTAGTGTAATGTCGGTTGCACACTTAATGGGAAAAATTTATAATTAATCAAAACTTTATTTTTAAATAAATATATATTCTGAAGTTCTACATTAAAATAGTATCTAAAACAGTCGACAGATCTACAACAGAGGGTTTCCATGAAAAGAAAAGTGACATGGCTTTGTTACGTGCTCCTTAGCATCCACTTAAAACTAAAATATATGAAATCCGTTAACTAATTTTCGAAACTAAATTCAGATTTTTGCATTAATCTGTGCCTTTGATAGATAAGATAAGACGTTGATAAATATGTTATTAGAGACATAAGTAATCTAAAATTTGCATTCCACGTCATATCTCCTCAACTAAGCAAAAATCCTTAGCGAATTGGTTTCTAGTACTCGTTCAGAGTAATCGGAAGAAAAAGGAAAAGACAGTTAAGATTTAATTTCACGTATAGTGTGTCTATGTAGCCGCTAATAGGCCTCTTCAGAACGGCAATTCATAGTCGCTCTGAACGTGAAAATAAATCTCATCTGTCTTAGGAAGCAACTCTAACATGGCTTCGAATGGACGCAAATAGCGACATCTGATATTAAAATCCGTAAACTAATTTTCGAAGCCATGTTAGAGTTGCTTCCTAAGACAGAAGAGATTTATTTTCACGTTCAGAGCGACTATGAATTGCCGTACATAGACGCGCTATACGTAAAATTAAATCTTAACTGCCTTTTCCTTAAAGTATATGACTTTTAGTAACTTGGTTGACATTAATGCGAAACCATGCTTACACAAGAGAAAACTATAGACATAGCACCTGGCGGCCACTACTGTCAGTCGTTTTTAGAAATTTTAACAGTAATTAATACTTAATTAATTAAATTCAAAAAAATTAATTTACATACCTCATTCATTGTAGTTCTAATTTTCCAAAAGTCTTCTTTGTAACCTTCTTTACCAATAACAATAACAACTTCGTCTACCCTTAAACTAACTTGAAATTTATCTTTCGCATCATAATTGTTAATAACAACTGCTTTTAATTGTCGAAACGGCCATAATAGTTTCGTGTCTTCGGCCAACCTGACAAAAAAATAATATGAGTTTAGTTATAATAAGTAAATCATAAAAGTGTTAATTGAGTAAGTTTCTCAGTCATTTGAAAAGAAATATTAACTGACATTATTACTTAAAATATTAATGGCAGGTAAATTCTCTAAAAATAAGTAATAAACGAAAAAATATTCTTTGGAAAAAAATCCACAGGACTAAAAATAATATGTTTTAGTAGTATAAACGTAGAGAAACATATATTCTTACCCATTAAAATTTTCGTTGAGACTGTAATTTTGATAATTGAGCACTAGTTCTTCAATACTGTTGAAAAACTTCGATTGAGACAAATAATACTTTTTGGAGTCCGTTCCCTGGGGTTCAGTTATACAACATATCTTCATATGTTTTATTGTATCAGTCCTAAAATATGGAAAAGAATCATTATTGTGTGATTTTTAAAAAAAGGGTATCAAGAAAAACCGGCAAAGTTATAAGCGAGTTAAACTCATCAACATTAGAAGATTTCTTAATATTGTTCTGAAGCTATTTTCTTGTGGCATTGTAAATTAATTACTATTAAACTGGGAATAAGCCACAATTAAAGATAAAAATACGTTTATTGACGTTTCAATTTCCACTTCGGAGAGTAAATTTACTGTTTGTATTTTGAGAACGATTTCCGAAGTGGAAATTGAAACGTCAATAAACGTATTTTTATCTTTAATTGTGGCTTATTCCCAGTTTAATAGTAATTAATTAGAATATTTGTATAGATACTGGAAATTTTTGAAAAATATTGTATAGGATGTCCCCGTCGTCAGCATGATCACTCTACTAAACTTGTTTTGATCGTCGTCCCTGGGTATGGAAATGGTTTCCTGTTTTCCAGTTTGAGAATTTGTTCAAGTAGCTTACCCAGAGATGTAACAAGTTTTTTTCTTTTTAAAAGTTAAGTGGCGAAATATGTAAGGTAACTTTTAATATATTAATTTTTCCAAGTTATAAAAACATTTTTAATAATTGCTTTCATTAAACATTAAAGAATTTGTAATAATTATAGTTTTATATTATGTCGTAGCTAAAAAATGTCATAATTTAATCTGTCTTAAAATGTTATGTTGACATATGACATTTTGCTTTAATCCATTGTTGTTATAAGACAATTTTAATTTAATTATTATATATAAAAGATATTTCATATATAAGGTTTAAATTCTACAGTATTTTCATAAAAGGATATCTATAAGTTTTTTTTTGATAATCTAAATTGCCCATATTATAACCTAGGAACCATTTCAGAAAATTTTGTAGCAATCTCTTTTGTAAACAAATAACACGAAAGTTTTGTTAATTTGTATTATGTTATATAGTATGTTCTTGTAAAATCTGTATTTTTGATAACTATTTGTTTGAGACAAAAAATAAACGTTTAATTTTTTTCTCTGATACATTTTGTGTTTTAATTTGGAAAAGTCTCCTAATCCTTGTATGTATTTTAGATTTTAGGGAAGAAGAATTTTTTCTTTCTCCCGGCAGGAAGTTTTCTTCAAAGCGGCGTCCGAAAACATAAATAGCTAGAGGTAAATTTGGCTGCCATATCTTATTTTCATTTAGTAGATACCCCAATCCGACCCAATTTTATTTAAACTTATCCACGACCCAGCTCTCCAACAACCAACTGAGTGCCATACGCACTAGTTTCGATTTATTTTGTTTGCTCAATTTTCTACCCCATGTTCTTACCCTGAGGTAAGCAAAAAAATATTTCGTTACAAGATATCCTGCCAGTCTATTTGCTTTTTGTACTTGATCTCTCACTTCTTTACCCAAATTCAACAGAAATTAATAAATTCAGATTTTTAGGTTATTATTTTTTATGAGTTTATTTTATTGGCTGCTGTTTTCTGGTTACGATTTATTAGCGATCTTTTTATCTTTGTAGTTTGCACCAGCATTAATCAAACTGTTAGTTTTCTATTAGCCATATTCATACCCATCCCAAAGACACTCCCGATAAGTATAATAAAACAGTAATAATAATCAATATGTGAATTTACAATAAAAAAGTACGGCATTTACTCGACGTTGCAGAATCAGCGTAAATTATGTATTTAAAGCGACTGGTTCTACGAATATAGATATGATTTAGTAGTTATATGTTAATATTAGTGTAGACACCAGCTTTTGTTTAAGTTGTTCGACCTGAGATAATTCATAATATAATTGTTCAGTTATCAATAAAGAAGACAAAAATTCCATCTTAATTCATTTAAAAGTACAACATTAATAATCGGTTGGGTTAAGCGTAGCGGGAGCCTCACACCACACTACTTTCTTGAAGAAATCAATACCCAATATTGATTTCTGATAAAAAAATACCAATGAAATCAAAAATTAAATAAAAGCATACCATACTTACTTTAATGTTAGGGCATATATGTCGTTTGTGTCGCACAAAGGCCTGAGCCGAACCATAAATGTCCCGTTCTCTCTCCTTTCCAACTTCATACTAGCGCTAACCCTATCCATTTCCCCGACAAACCATAACTTGTCCCGTAACGGATCATTGAATCCGTTTGTCATGGAGTTGCTTGTAACTACATTATGGCCGCATTTTCCCGCTTTGTGTATGCACGATTTATGAACGCTTATGCCACACGTAGAACACTTGTAACCTTGGGAAATTAGGCCTTTAAGGTACTTCGAGCAGAATAGACAGGGAGTGGGTTGGAGAAAAGTGTGAAGCTCAAAATTGTGACTGGTGTGTTTTAATTCTTTCGGTTTAAGATTATCTCTGGAAATAAGTTAAAACATCATGGTTAAATGCATTGGCGAGCAAATAATTGTTTAGATTATTTTAAATTATTATGCTGTATAGTAGGCCCTGAGGAATTGTTTTAAATAAAGTTATCTATCATATATTCTGAATTCGAACAGGACTTTTATCTTGTATACTTGACAGAAAGGTTTATTCAAAAAAATCGAGTAAATATTCTACGCAAACTCGCATTATATATGTAATTAATTAAAAATAAGCTACTTACATGCAATCCTTGATGGCTTTGATTATTTGTTGCTTAAGCTCTGCGGTTCGCAAAGAAATTGTATAGGCGTTCTGGTTGTCGTTTTTTACAAGACAAAACTGGTAAAAGGATCGGGCTTCTTTATTTAAGACAGCCCTATTGTGGATTTCGTCAACGTGATAATCTGCTATATTTATGAGATCACGAAAGGCAAACTGGTTACCCTAAAAACATATCTACTATAATAATAAGTAAGCACTATAAAACTGTAGTTATTTCGTCTACAAGTGCTTCTATATTATGGGTATCGTCTCTTGAATTATACTAGCGTTAAGTGTTTAAATTTGCTCTGAGATTGATGTCAAAATCAGTTTAGTCACTCTAACTGAAGCCCCATGCAAGCTCAATTTAATTTTAAAACTTGTCAAAATGTTCGGAAATACAATCGCAGAATGTTTTCTATTGGTTAACGACAGAAATATACCTGATTTCATTTATAGCTTTTATTACATACGTATTTAGTGCAGTTCAGTGCCACGTTTGTCTGTATAGAGTATGTCCCTCAATTTTTTTTATACTCCGTAATACTCTTTGTTTTCTTTGCGTACAACCTAAAACTTTGTATGTTCAGTAAAACCTTTTATTCGGCTTATTTGTAGGTAATTTTTTTATTAGATAGTAAGTTATAATACTTCAATACCTAGAGTCAAATTATGGGAAGCAATGAATGATCTCGGAATCTGACAAACACTAATAAAAGCAGTTAAAGCACTGTACAAAGAAAACAAAGTAGATATTAAATGTGGAAATAAAGCCTACAATCCATTTAAGACGACAAAAGGACTTCTACAAGGCTGTGCTACGTCCCCTACTCTGTTTAAAATATTCTTGGAAAAGACACTCAAACCATGGAGGAGAAAGTGCGAAGGAATGGGCATACCAGTAAGAGACGAATACCTATACACCTTAAGTTTTGCCGACGATCAAGTAGTCATCGCACAAGATGAAGAAGATCTCAGCTTTATATTCAGAAAACTAGAAGAAGCATATAAAAACAACGGAATGGAAATAAACTTGGAGAAAACCGAATACCTAACAACAGAAAACAAGGATATGAGATACCTAGAGATAGACTAGGAAAGACAAGTAAATGGAACAGATAAATTCAAGTATTTAGGAACCATAATATCGAACCAGGGAACAACAGAAGAAGATATAAACAACAGACTAAGACAAACAAGAAACTGTATAATACAACTAAATTCAGTGCTGTGGGATAAGAACATTACGATAAAAACAAAAAAAAAGAATATATAATACCCTGACAAGAAGTATCCTGATATATGGATCCGAAAACTGTACAATAAACAAGAGAAATAGAGGTAGAATAAGAGCAGTAGAAATGGAGTTCCTGAGGAGAAGCTGTAGACTTACAAAAAGAGACAGAATTGAAAACGCAGAGATTAAGCGGAGAATGGGAGTGCAATCACACATAATCGACTATATCGAGGAGAAGAGACTAACCTGGTACGGCCACGTCAGAAGAGCGGACAGAGGACGCTGGATAAACAAAATCACAGAATGGAGCCCGATCAGAAGAAGAAAGAGAGGAAGACCCCGAAGGTCATTCAGAGACGAAATCGACGAGGCTATGGAGAAAAGAACCCTGCTAGGTGGAGACTGTAATGACAGGGAAAATTGGAGAAAACGGTTGAGTGAAGGAAGACAGTGAAAACTGTGGAAATCCTTAGTAGTAGTAGTAGTAGTTATAATACCGATAATTGCATGATAATTATGTTATAACTGAGGTAATTAGCTTTACCCAGTAATAAAGTTCTTCCATCTAATTTTAGAAATATTTGTATGAATAAATGTACATGTTTTATTTTGCTATTTGCCTTGTTTGATTTGTGTCTACTTTGTTAATGTGTTGACAGTCTACAATACTTTTCCCTGGCAGAACTTTAGAAATAAAATTTGTTGACAAGAATGTAGAGCGATAATATAAGTTAAGTGTGTTTGCTTCTCTTGCAGTTTCGTTTTTTTTTTAGAGGTTTAGACTATCTGTTATTTTTTTTAATCTTTCTTAAACCCATCATCTCATAGGTCAAGTGACGAGTTTTCCTCGTCTTTTGACAAAGGACTAGGTGGCGCCATTCATTTTTCCTCTTTCTTTCAGTACCTAAGTCTGTTATTTCCACTGGTACGTTTCAATTCCCGAGCACAAAGACTTTTTTTACAAGGCCGTTTTACAAGGTGAACATACTTGCACCTGGATTCCCTATTTCTCTTTGAATCCCCCACTTTCCATCCAGACAAATATCGTTACATTATTATTGTCCAATCTTACAAATTTCGTAAGAGCACAACGACTTATTAAGAGCATTAAGACTTATTTCCACTGGTCCGTTTCAATTCTCAATTTTTTTCTAAATATACCCCATTCCAGATAGATCCACGTCCTAAAGCTCACTGTTGTGTTCTTCAAAACACCTGAGGGCCTTTTACAAGGTGAACATATTTGAACCTGGATTCCCTATTTCTCTTTGAATCCTCTACTTCCCACCCAGACAAATATCGTTACACTATTATTGTCCAATCTTACAAATTTCGTAAGAGCACAAAGTCTACGATGATTGGGGCGCGTGTAAAGGATGCATAGGGATAAAATTCCAACAATTGTCTAAAGCAGACAATCAATAAGGAAAAGAAGGAAAGATGCCCAAGAAAACGGTGATATCACAGTGTTATAGAAGATCTAAGAAGTACTGAAGTACTTGTCTGGAAAGAAATTGCTAACTACAGAAATGAATGGAGAAGGATAGTAAACGCGTATAGCAGAACTAGAAAATAAAAATTGTTTATGTGAATTTTAATATAAACATAAAGTAAGTAATTTAATCTAAAATTTATGAAATAATTATTATAAAACATACGCTTTAAACCATTTTGTTAGTAAAAAAATATTGTACCGTACGAATAATTCGCCCTTAGGGAATGCTTAGTAAGTACCCCCTTTTTCTATAGAACTGAATAATAGATGGGTTGATCTATGAAACTCTCCTATTACCGTATTCGAAAATATCTATTTTACATTAGAGATTGTCATACATATGACAATTCTTGAAACAGTACTAACAGTTTCCGTCATTTGCACTTCATTAATTAAGAATCAATTGATGTATCGTTAGTTCAATGATATTTAATGTAAATTATTGGTTTTTTCAGCAGTAAATTTTTGAGATTATGATGTAAATACATCAAAAATAATTAAAACAATACTAAAATTATTGTTAGAGAAGTTCTCAGCACCGTGGGGCTGGTTCTCACGACTTCAAATTTTATTGATGGGCACTAGCATACAATTACCAGTGCCCATATGATTCCATTGGAATTGCATTAACCATATTTAATAATGAACTTTGAAAATAAGGCTATTATCGAGCACAAGTTAATTAAATTTAGCCCTAAAATTAAATTTTGGGCTAGATTTAATTAACTTGTGCTCGATAATAGCCTTATTTTCAAAGTTCATTTATTCGAGTATTCAACCTCATTTCATATATTTAATAATGTTAAAATTTAATGGGTTAAAAAAATAACATACCTTCAATTGTTTACAGATCAAAATACACTTGTCAAAAATAAACACATATCTATTTTTATTCTTCTGGTCATCGTGAGCCTTAATTCTAAGGCTCGCGTCCTTCACCAGTCGACCATAATCTGATAATTTTTGATTCGGCGCGAGATTCCATTCCGTTATTGTTTCTTGCAAATTATTTATCACTTCTAAATGTTCGCTGTCTCTTGCTACTTCGTTGATATAACCGGCTACATCTATCATCGTTTCTCTGGCTCTTTTCAGATCATTGTACTCTTCGTGAGACTAAAACATAAATTATGTGAATGGAAAAACGATTTATATAAACAAAAAATATAGTTTTTATGACGATTAAGATATAAGATAGATTTAAGAGTAGTAAAAAAAATTAAAAATAAGCACAATCACCCGATGAATTATATAATACACTTAAAATGTATTTCCTTGAAGGGAGAAAAGGGGCTCCAGGAGAAAAATCGTTAACAGAAAAAAGTAATAACTACTATTGGATTAAGAATTAGAAGATCTTGTAAAACAAAAAAGAATTACATAATAAATGGTTATACACCGTCGAATTTCAATAGAAGTTCAACTACGATTTTATCCCTTATGTCTTTGAGAATACTGAAAATGAAGTCAAGGTGAGTAAAATATGTGCATTTTCTTTTGTAAAAAAAATCCTTTTTTAAAAAAGATTTCTTCCTTATATCGTCTTACGAATCGATATAGGCATATTGATTATATTTTTAAAAAATTTGGCTTAAGGGACACTGGTGCATAAGAATGTTCATTATAACCTAAACATTACATAATAACATAATACCAATAGGTCAATGTCTTTAATTTTCTCCTTCATACTACTTGAAAGTTTGTGAGTTTGTAACGTTATAAACGTCACATCTTTCTATCTATCTCTATCTAATTAGCCTTCTTCGGTCCATCTTTGAACATAGGCCTCCCCAATCCTGTTGCATTCTTCTCTGGCTGTCGCTACAGTCATCCACCTACAGCCCACGTGCTTTTTGATATCATCTGCCCATCTCATTTGGGGCCTTCCTCTGCTTCGTTTATATTCCCACGGTCTCCAACTTATAAGAATTTTGTTCCATCGGTCTTCTTTTTGTCTTATATTGTGTCCGGCAAATCTCCATTTCTTTCAATTTTGCAACTTCTTGTCTAACATCCCTCACTTTTGTTTTCTCTCTTATCCACTCGTTTCTCTTTTTATCCATTAGTCGTATGTGCAACATTTGTCTTTCCATTGCTCTTTGGGTTTTTATGATTTTGTCCATGTTTGCTTTTGCAAATGTCCACGTTTGGGAACCATAAGTAAGAACAGGGAGTACGCATTGATTGTATACTTTGGTCTTAAGATGCTGTGGATATCATTTGTTTTTAAGAATGTAGCTTAGTTTGCCAAATACCGCCCATGCCAGTCTAACTCGTCTCTTTATCTCTGCTGTTTGGTTCTCGTTGTTAAGTTTTATAGTTTGACCAAGATATATATAATCCTGAACTTGTTCTATTTCATCTTGTCCGATTCTCAATGTGATGTCTTCATCTGTATTTGTTATGGTTTTGGTCTTGCTGTAATTCATATTAAGGCCTACCTTTCCAGCTTCTACGTCCAGTTCTTTCATCATTTCAAATAATTCTTCTTTTTTATCAGTTATCAATACGATATCATCAGCGTACCTTAGATGGTTCAAGCGTTGTCCACAAATTTTTATACCTTTTTCTTACCATTCTAATCCTTTAAAAGTATCTTCAAGAGCCTGATTGAAAAGTTTCGGTGATATTGTATCACCCTGTCTTACGCCTCTATTTATTTGTATTGATTTTGTTCCTTCATATACTTTAATTGTTGTTTTGGATTCCTTATATATATTGGCTATTAGTTCCGTATATCTGTGGTCAATTCTGCTGTTAATCAAAGAACTTTTCACTGCCCAATGTTCGACTCTGTCGAAAGCCTTTTCGAAATATATGAACGCCATATATAGACGAATGTTTGGGATTCTTTTTTCTTTTAATATCTTACTAAAAAGGGGATGTAGAGTATTAATTACCACTTTTCCACCATATTTCAGCATCTCTGCAGTTATTCCATCTTTTCCAGGCGATTTGTTGTTTTTTCATTTCTTTCAATGCCTTCTTTATTTCTGATTTGCTTATTTCTGGCTGTAGCTCTGAGTTGACATTTTTTATTTTAACCTTAAGTTGGTTTTTAATTTCTTCTGGTGGTTCATATTTTGTTTTATATAATTCTGAGTAGAAATGGTGGATTATATTTATGATGTCATCTTTAACGTTTGTTTCTACTCCATTTACATCTTTTATTTTGTTTATTTCAAACTTACCTAATTTCGGCCTTAAGCATTTTATATTTTTGTTGTTCTGTATTACTTCTTCTATTTTTATTTCTTGTTCTTTTCTCTTATTTCTTTTATCATTCTGCTTATTGTTTTATTGATTTCTACATATTCTATAGATTTCATTTTGCCTCCTTCGTTCAGCTTCCTTCTTTTATCCATAAGCTTCTTTGTTTCTGTTGATATATAGTTGTTCTTTTTTAGATCCTTTTTTGCTATTTCTTTTCCTGATGTAATCATTGTTGCTGTAAGTATGTTGTCTATTTCGTCTATATCTTTATCATCACTGTATAATTTTTGGGTAAGTTGTTCTTTTAATAGGTCTTTGTATATCTCTTTATATTGCCCTAGTTTGTTTCTATCTACTAGATCGCAGTTTCTACTTATTTTTCTTTTCCTCTCATAGTTACCGTCAATACTAATTTTTGCTCTGACCATCCTGTGATCGCTACCTGTTGTGAATCTATTAAGAACTGTTACATCTTTAATGATATATCGTTCCGTGGACAGTATGAAGTCGATCTCATTTTTTGTGGATCCATTAGGGCTATTCCATGTCCACTTTCGTTGGGGCTTCTTTTTGTAAAAGGAGTTCATTGCGTATAGATGCTTTTCTTCTAGGTAGTTCATCAAAGTATCACCTCTATCATTTCTCTGGCCATACCCGAAATCACCTATTTTAGTTTCTTCTTTGTTTAGTTTTCTACCTAGTTTGGCATTGAAATCTCCAATTACTAGTGTAAGATGATTTTTATGTTCTTCCATAGCTTTTGATATATCTTCATAAAATAGTTCGATATTTTATACCTGATCTGATATACCTTTGATAATTTGGACATGCTTACTTATAGCTTTATTTATTATAAATCCTACTCCAAATTTACTATTCATTTCATTTCCTTTATCATATAGTAGATAACATATTTTAGCTGTATTCGGTTTTCTTCTTTTCGTCGAGTTTCTGATAGGCCTATGATATCCCATTTTATGTTTGTTAATTCTTCTTCCAGTTCATGTAATTTTTCATCTGTGGACATTGATCTAATATTCTTCTTCTTCAGGTGCCATCTCCGCTACGGAGGTTGGCAATCATCATAGCTATCTTAATTTTTGAGGCAGTAGCTCTAAATAGTTGTTTTGAGCTGCATCCAAACCATTCTCTCAGGTTCTTCAGCCATGAAATTCGTCTTCTTCCGATGCTTCTTCTGCCATCTATTGTATCTAATATTGTATGTCCCTAATGTCAGGTTGACGGATTTTTTTGATTTATGTTGTGCTCGTCTTAGTGGGTTTTTGTTTTTATTAATCAAAAGCGAAGTATTGCCTCATCACATCTTTATTAATTTATATTTAAATAATTATGTTAATTTAATTTCTTTATTAATTTATTAATTTCTTAAGACTACATTATAATGCGCTCCCTAACTTTCGCGTGATTGGTTGGTGGGTGGGTCCCAATTTAAAAATTGGCGGGTTTCATGTTTATTAAAATGACAATAAAATTGAGGTATTGTGGCACAGTATATCGCTAAACAATTTATTAGCAATATATTGTGGTATTGGTACAAAGCGGATGATATTCACATTTTAGGATTAAGCTGACTAGTACAGTTTTATTAGAAATTAAAATTTATATTTCTTTTGACATTATGTAGGTAAAATTAAATTCTGACATTGTGTTTATTTAATTTTGATATGCTAGTGATGCTTTTTTTTATTAGATATGACAGTGAACAATGAAAATATTATTAACCGAGTGATATTGTTTCGTTTTATTATTTTAAATTGGTTTGTTTTTTATTTTTATATTATCCAATCAATTCCCGATTTATTTGACATAAATAAAACTGCATTAATTTAGAGAAGCAGTTAAATGTAGAAAGTTTAATAGGTTTTAAAGAAAAGTGAAATTAATGTTAGTAAACGTTGGTATTTAGTTGAGCCACCTTTAGCCGCTATCAAAGCTTTAATTCTGCGCGGCATGCTATCATGCAAGACTGTACTGCCTCCTGCATTTCAGGATGATGATTCCCACATAAATAATCTTTTCTAGGAGCTGGGTTTTGTTGGTAATCACATCTTTAGCCACTTTTCCTTTAGCCAACAAAGGGATATTTTTTTTGTCAAAAAAGATTTAACAGACCGAGTACTGTGACATGGAGCTTCATCTTGCATGAATGTGAATGATTCCCCATTTCGAAACCATTGTCTGAGCTGCGGTATCAACCGATTTGTAATACTTCTTGGTACTAATCTTGCCTCAGTATTCCTTTGACGACGTACAGACGTCCAGTGCCCTTGGGAGTGGGATTTTTAACCGTCGGACACAATCAGGATGAAATTTTCCATGATGACGACGTACATACTAAGCTTTATTCTGCACAATTTCGAATGTGCGTTCGTCACTGAAGCAGACCTATCAAAAAATAAGAAAAATATATAAACTTCCATGTTTATTTGCTTTATTTAACTGAAAATGGTAATATTGTATCAATTTTTGATTAAATTGCTGTATCTTACCAATCTTCTAAAGTCCACATCTTTGTCTTGCCATTGTTTGGACCACTTTCAGGCGTTTTTCTTTAATTGCAGCTGTTAACTTGGGCTTCCTGGCTGAGCAACAGGCTTTGAAATCTAATTCTATCAATTTTCTTCGAACAGTGCGCTCAGAAACATTTACGCTAGCATCCTGGAGTTATGAATTTATTACCTTTGTGGTATCAAATCTGTTTTCTAGACAAATTTTCTTCAAACGTCTCTTTGATCGAGGAGTGAAAATTGGTTTTCTACCGCATCTTTTGTTCTTTTCGGGCTTAATTCCTACCCTTTTGTGCGTCGTACACTAGTTTCAGAAAACTCCTAGCTTCGTGATAGTTCTCGGTTTGTAAATGTTTTCGCAATCACAAGGGCCTTCACTTCAACTTTTTTACGTGGTGAAAGATCGCCTTTTCTACCCATAATGAAAATAGTCCAATTACTTTTTAAAACACGGCATACAAAATAAACTAGTAACTAAGTACTATATACTAATAAAGAAACAATCACAATCCATGATGTCACAGAAACACGTCCATACCTGACTCGATTCCAATGGCGACTGATACGGAATTGTAATTGTTATATTGTTATTGTTTACGTTCATGTATCACTTTGTCAACACAGTGTTGCCATATGTAAAAATAAATACAAATATCTAGGCTACAACAATTCTGTTAAATAAAAATCATAATATTCTAGTTTAAATGTACCATTATTGCATAAAAACTCTTAAGAAATATAAAATTATTAAAATTTAAAAAATACAGTGCGCCTAATAATTTGGCCATGGACTTACGTTATCTAATGAACAAAATGTAGAAAACTTACCTCACTAGTATGTTCAATAAGTTTATCCAACAACAGGTGATATTTGAGAATTCGTTGCATTGGCACAGATAGTACATCTCTTAACTTAAACCTACCATTATTAACTTCTTTTTCATATTTCTAAAAATTATAGTGAATTAGGCGTCACAACATAAAAAACAAAACATCAAATATTATGAAAAGTTGTATTATAATCTGCAAACAACAATGTATACAGAGTTTCTTGTCCCATTTCGATGCCCATAAATCTACATTTATTGCTCCAATTCCTCAATGCTTCTTGGACGTATATTTTAAAGAGTGTCGGTGACAAACAGCATCCTTGTTTTAAACCTTTAGTGACTTTAAATTCATTTGAAATTCTGGTTCCAATTTTTACACAACTAACTGCATTTTCGTACAGTTCATATATCCCTCGGATATACGTCGAATCCAATCCGGACCTTTCGAGGACCTCAAACATTTTCTTTAACGGGACACTATCATATGCTTTCTCAAGGTCTATAAATACCAAATGGGTCTCTCTACTTCGTTCGACACGCTTTTCAATTATTTGTCGTAGGATAAATATATTATCAAAGCAGGATTTCAGGTGGTGGTTGCAACCGATGAGGAAGATATAAATTATATGAATTGAAAATTATTTGAGGAATATGCCAAATGAGGGCTTACTGTAAACATAAGCAAAACAGAATATTTAAAAATTGGAGGAAATACCACAGATCTGAGGCTTGAAAACGCAGTCATCAAAGGTTGCAACCAGCATAAATATCTATGAAGCATCATATCAGCAGATGGCAGAGTTAAGATAGATGTACAAAACCGAATAACCCAAGAGAAAAAATGCATCCGAATACTGAATTCATTACTGTGGTCTAATAAAATAAAGATGCATACCAAACTTCGTGTATACAGAGCAATTGTAGAACCGATTACCACATATGGTGCCGAATGTTGGAAGATGACAAAGAATGAACGAGATAAAGTAGACGTTGTGGAAATGGATTATCTTAGAAGGTCATGTCGAGTATCGAGAATGGAAAGAATCAGGAATGAGGAAATACGAAACCGTACAGGAATTAGAGATACTCTCTCAGATAGAATACAAGGAAGGCAATTACAATGGTATGGTCACGTGATGAGAATGGAGGAGGAGCGGTGGCCAAAGAAAACCTTAATGTATGTTCCGCCAGAAAGGAGGAAAAGGGGAAGACCACCAAATTCCTGGAGAAGAGAAATTACTAAAACAATGAAATCTAGAGGCTTAAAAGCGGGAGATTGGAGAGATAGGAAAATATGGAGGCTGAAATGCGGGAAGCGGCAATCCCGTAGGACCCCCGTTATATGATGATGATGAGTATTATAATCAGAGTAGCTAGGACCATGAACGATCCAGGTTATTTAAAACATGCGTTAATAGTAATATTAGAACCTGCCAACTAATCTCCAAATGTTAGTTAGCAGGTTTTCGCAGACCAAGACTGATGTGAGTTTTATTTCGAATAGGTACATACTGTTTCTCGATAGTTATATCCTTATTCATCGGCAATATGTCAATTAATTTAATACTTTTAAATAAGTAGTCTGCAATTCACTGAAGATGGAAACGTTCTGAACTGTTATTGTAATCAATTTGGACTTTTCTTTAATATTATACCAAAAGTTTTTACTTCGATGTTAAAGCTTTTTGTGTTTGTTTCTGACATTCAAAGATCCATTGTATGAAATAACTTTCCAAGGTAATTTACATGCAACTCAGACATATTAGATGGTGCCACAATTTTTTTGTCAATAACTACATAGAAATAAAATTAAGTTTTCATTGTAATAAATTATTGGGGACTTTCAGTTACTGCTACAAACCCGTTAAAAATCAATCGATCGATGAATCGATAAACCGATCCAGAGAAATATCTTCACTCCGTCAATATATGCCTATGAAGTCCATAAAACGTGGCGATAAGGCAATATAAAGACAATGAACCGGGATATATACCACAATTCGAGAGATATATATGGTTCTGAAGCTATTTTCTTGTGGCATTTTAAATTAATTACTATTTAACTGGGAATAAGCCACAATTAAAGATAAAAATACGTTTATTGACGTTTCAATTTCCACTTCGGAAATCGTTCTCAAAATACAAACAGTAAATTAAACAAATTTTAGGTGAAAAATTTTTGAAAGATCAAAAAACATCAAGGCCATTAAATGTTAGAATAAGTGAACATCAATCTTATATTAAAAATAGAGAATTTGATAGATTTCAAATATGTAAACACGCATGGGATAATTAATATAGGGTTCAATGAAATAATTCAAATGTAGTCCTAAAAGAAACGGGTGGTAAAAAAAGAAAAATAAAAGAAGCGGCTCGAATTATGCTAAATGAGGCCAATTGTGTCGCAAATTCCTCGGCAGAATGTAGTAGGATCTGGTTACCAATATTGAAAGAGGAAATTATTAATAAGAAAATACCAGTATTAGTAAGTCAGTAACATATAGAGGATACATCATTTATGTTTTTTAAATAACGAAACATATAAAATCAGAATTTTGGTGTTTATTGAAGGTAAACTAAATGCACTAACAAATACTTACCATGTCGGGATAGTATTATGAGGTTTTTTTCCTGGTTTTTCCCTCATAATTTACTATGGAATCACTAACAGGAGAATTTTACTGTCATCATGTCATGTGTTTGTCATTTTAACGACGACGAATTACATGCTATGATTTTTTCTGACGGATATTCTCAAGTTAAAGTTGATTTCATGTAATCGAATGAACTATCTTATAAGTAAATTCGTCCCAGGAGCGCAACTCAACAATATTGGCAATATCATTTTAAAGTCGTCTACTTTAAAATGCATAATGTATGTCTGAATTGTCAATATAAATGAGTCAGATAAAATTAAATTATTAGAAGAATTTTTCACTATGTAACAAAAAACAAAATTTGTTTAATTTACTGTTTATATTTTGAGAACGATTTCCGACGTCGAAATTGAAACGTCAATAAACGTATTTTTATCTTTAATTGTGGCTTATTCTCAGTTAGATATATATATATATATATATATATATATATATATATAATATATATATATATATATATATATATCGTCGGCTTACAAGCGAAACACACTAAGTCAATTTTTTTCACTTTTGAGTTATTTGCAGCATTTTATTGTATTTTTTTACTCTTTAGACTGGTTAAACTCACTAAGTCATACAATAACAAAAACGGTTACTTTTATAATTATCATGTTTCTCACTAAGTCTCAAAAACTATATATGATTCAGGCAAAACACACTAAGTGACTTAATGTATTTCACTTGACTACGAATGAACCTACCGACTGACTTACGCAGAGCAACTTATCCAATCTTGTAAAAAATTAATTATTTGTTTGGGTATATTGCATAGGTTTTGTCAGTTTTATTCCAGTATTTTGCGTGATTAGGTCGTTAACAGTTTTGAATTTTGTGTGTATTTATTAATTAATTTCTGTAAGAAAAATAAAATTTTCTGTCTAACTACCTACAGCGATAAACAAAGACGTGAGCCTAAATTCTGATAATTTTTGTTAAGATATTCAGTCAAGTCCTCCTCAAATAAGTGACCAGGATTCTGATGAATGTATGGAGGATAGCGACTATATTCCTTCAGGTAATGAAAGTGATAATTTAGATACCAGCGAAGGAAACTCTACAGCAAACGAGAAAAAAACAAATTCAAATGAAAATAGTCAAGTAGGATCTAAACGAAGCCGATGGAACACCCCAAGACCATCTGTGTGGTCAACATCCCAAGATTATTAATTTTTCTGAAGAGAACCGGAAGTTGCTATGTCAAACTTATGCGATGTTCTCATTTCAAAGACAGAAAGATTTTATATTATTGAATGTGCTTTCTAATAAGGTAAAGAGTCGCAGGCCTAGAAAAGGAGAAAATAGCAAAATGCGATCCAACGCAAAATCCTATTTTTTCACAAATATGGGAAAGAAAAGTCAAGTGTGTCAGAAATTTTTTTGTAAAACATTTTCTATTTCTAATAGGCCTATAATTAATGCCTTTAAATAGCAAAATGTAAGCGGCGAATATAGTGGAATAGACAGAAGGGGCCGTAGGATTCCTGGCAATAAAACTTCAGTGGAAACAAGAATAAGAGCAAAAAAACACATTGAAAGCATTCCTGATGTAGAAAGTCACTACACTAGAAAGTCTTCGAAAAGACTTTATTTAGATTGCAATCTTAATATTAAAAAAATGCACGACCTGTTCGTTAAAAAGTGTAAAGAGGACAATTTGCCAAGCTTAAGTTAGATAACCTACAGGCGAATCTTTTGCAAGAAATTTAATATATCATTTTTCAAACCTAAGAAAGACCAATGTTTGACCTGTAAGGAATACACAAAAGCATCGCAACAATAAAAAGAAGCGATGGAGCTTAATTATAGGAGTCATTTAGACAGAAAAGAGGCTGCAGTGAAAGAAAAAAATTCAGACAAAGAAGTATCGAAAAAGAATAAAAAAAATTTAAATCAATTACGTGTGATATGCAAAGCGTTTTACAAATTCCATCATCGCAAGTAAGTCTCCTGTATTATCTTAGAGAGCTGAACTTCTATAATTTTACAATTTAGGAATCTGCTTTACCAAATGAGGCATTCTGTTATTTTTGGTCCGAAGTCAATGGTAAGCGTGGAAGATGTGAAATTGGTACTTGCCTAGGAATGTACATTAATTCATTATCTGATATAGAACATCTAACGATTTGTTCAGATACGTGTGGAGGACAGAACAAAAATATTCAAGTATCTGCTCTGCTTTTACATATTGTTAAAAACCATCCGAGTCTTCGGATAATTGAGCAAAAGTTCATGGAAAGTGGACACTCCTATATGGAAGTAGATTCCATGCATAGCGCTATTGAAGTGCCAAAAAAAATGTGGAGATTTTTAGTGTTCACGAATATGAAAATGGCTTTAAAATGGCCAGAATGGGCAACAATGGGAATAAAAAATCTTCCTATAGTACTCGTATTAAGTTAATTATAACGAATTCTTAGATTTGAAAAAACTTGCACAAAATGCTATTGTTAATAAAAAAGAG